CCCGGGGGCCGCCCCTGCGTCGCCTTCAGACCCCCGCTCCCGCTCCAGCTTAGCGCACGCTCTCGTGTTTAACATCCAGAACCGCAGGCTGAGGTCGTTATCTGAAAGTGCCCAAGCCCTTGACAACTGGCTGTCCAACCGAAGAGCAAAACCACTTTGCCGCTCAGGACAGTGGCTCGGAAGAAGCCCACACACACGGAAGGTAGTGAAACACAAAACCGTTACGGAGAGTCACCACCGTGCGCGCCGAAACAAGCAGAGCTTTCCTCTCGCTAGTCAGGTTGGTAATTGCAAATGTCCAGGTGTGTTAGCCAGGGTGCTGGGAACCAGCTCTCTCAAACACCCTCAGGTTAAAAATTTGTCCCGGGGCAACACCACCCACAGGAATTTCACCTTGAAAAATACTCAAGGAACAGGTGCTAGGGCAACGTGCTTCAGATAGAGCATCAGAGACAGGAAAGCGCAAGACTTTGTGGAGCTGAACAGACACAATGTTTCTGTGGGGACTGACAAGAGCCCAGGAAGAAGAGGTTGGTGGGAGGTCGATTACAGGGCGGAGCAGCTTCATGAGCCAGAGAGTTCACTCCAGGGGACCCCTCCCATCTGGCTCGCCTCCGAAGTTAACTGCGCTTGGGTCGGGACCCCAGCTCTCCCACGTAAGGACTGTGGGACCGGGGGAATTTTTAAAAATACCTTGTGCTTTTAGAAGAGGTAAAAACAAGGATTAAGTGTGACAGATGCTTTCTGCTAACTAGAGTCACAAGCCTTTCTGCCCTTGTTACTTCACTAGAAAGAAGCTGGGCATTATCCTGCAACTTGAGAAAATGAGTCCCCACTTCTTTCGCTTTGCCAGTATTCCACCACAATAAATTAACTTCAAGCAGCAGTGGACTCTCTGTGGATGGAGAGAATGAGTAAAAATGTTTGGGAAAGGATAACGCAGTTCCCAGCAATCCTGGACCTGCCAGGATTCCTTTTCTCCTGCAACCTTTAGGGGGTTAATTGGAGAAGGTGTTTTGTTTTGTTTTTTCATCCTACACATGAGGATGTAAAAAAAAAAATAAAGAAAGAAAGAAAGAAAAAGGCAAACACACAGCCCAGGAAGCCATGACCTTCATCATGTTAGGAGCAACCCTGGGAATATTTTACCAGAGAAATTATAATGATCATAGGGCTAAAGGAGGTTAATGAACTTTTTAAAAAAAAGTTTAATGAGGTAAAAATTAAGTCATCTTAAGGTGCTGACTGTATATAACAGGATACACTTGTGCAAAAAAGACAAAAACACACCCCGAAGCAAAACAAACTCGAATACCCTCCAGTCCCTACTACACAAAATGTTTAAGGCACACAGAACTGGTATCAGGGGCTGCTTCTAGTGAGGGACTCTAGAAATCTGGGGTGGGAGAGACTTCCTTTCCGTTATGTACATTTGATCCTCTGAGATTTATTTTCCGTGTGCCTGTTTTCCTTTTAAATTTGTATCTCAGACAAAGAAGAAAGGGAATAATATAACAAACATCTAGGTTCCCCCCTCGGGGCTTAAGAAATGAAACAATTTAAGACTCAATTGAAGTCCCCTGCGTAGCCCTCCCAAGAGACAGCAGCTCTCCTGAATTTGGAGCTCATCCTTCCCATACGCGCTTTTAGCATACGTTGTTTTTTCTATTAAAAAAACAACAACAACCACCACAACAAAGCACAACACACAAAAACTTAAAAATAAGCATCAGGATTCTAGGCACCTGCACAACGTGAGCCTCCTGCTAAGGAGGAATCTGGCTTCCCAAGCGGAGAGAGGGCTCAGAGGAATAAAGAGCATCTGGATTTGAACTCAGTCTCCTGCCTTTAGTCCCACGTGACCCTGGGCAGCCTCTTCTCCTCTGAAATCACGGTGAGTACCTGTCTCACAGTCCGAGGGTTCAACGAGATCACAAGGTCAAGGCCATCGGTCCAGCACCTGGCCTACCGCGAAGGCTCAATAAATACTGGCTGCCATTATTATCCATGCCCTACCCCCAGTGGCAAGGAAGACACCCAAATGTGGGGGGAAAGGGGCTCGCTTCTACCCTCTGAAATACTCACGTCCCCCACGGGCAGGGAGGCAGAAGGCGCCGCAGAGCGGGGCCTGGGCGCAGGGCAGCAGCCGCGGCCGTCGCGCGGCAGCATGGCTGTTACCTGCACCAACGGCCTCCCGAGCCTCGCTGGC